TCTGGCTATCCAAGCTTGAGAAAATGAATGGGATAGTTCATGTATTTATAGGAGAAGAAAGTGGGATCAAAAGGAAGAGTGAATGATGCATTTTGGAGGGAATTCGTGCAAACCTGGTGCACGAGTGAAGTGTGATCTAATTTTTACCAAAACTCATCCAATCCTTGCGTTTTGAGGTGCTAAACAATTCTGGAACTTCACTAAAGATGTTTAGAGGAAAAAACGCATGGAAAACTTGTCATTAGAGGCCATATTATGGATTTCAAAATCCTGACTTGGTGAAAAATTTAGTTTCAAAGTTCCAACTTCTGACCAATGGCATTCTCAGCTCAAGGGGTCTTAGGGCATGATTCTTGATGCTTCAGAAAGATGACGTTACAAGCTTTGGAATGGAACATGAATGGAGTTAAATGGATGCTTGTGCTGAAAGTTGTGTTGAGTCAAAGTTGGAGAAAAAATGTTGAGTTTCCATACTTAGAAATATTTCAAATTTTTCTTCAAAAATTACCTATAATGTCTTGCATCTAAACATAGCCTTCCACTTGGAATTTTCTCTTGACCAAAAAAGATGGCATGAATTAGATCTCTTGAATGACATTTTGGGACTTGAACCATTCAAAATATCCAAAAATTGAGAAAGTTATGACTTGTTGAAGTTGGCAAAATTTCATAAAATGACCTATAATCTTTTGTATCCTTAAGGCAACTTCCATCCATTTTCTCACTTTGCACATAAAAGAAAGCAAAAATTTCACATTTTCAAGATCATTATGGAAAAAATAATGGGCTCAAGGTGATAAAAATTGACCAAGTTATGCTCATTTGAAGTCACACATGAAAAATTGGGGATTCATCTGGAGGACTTGTAATCTTTCTTCTTCATCAAGTTTCTTCCACATGAAAACTCTTTGGAACATTTGAAGTGATTTGTTTATAACCCTTTTAAGATAATGATGTCTTTGGAATCACTCAAAAATACCAAAAGATGGGCAAGATATACTCCTTTGAAGTTTAAAACCCTAGCTCCTAGATTAAGAAACATGCCTTGAGGAACTTTTACAATTTTTGAACAAACTTCTTGTACCAAAACAAATTCTTTGTAAATATAAGTTGTTGAGGATGAAAATGAGAATTCATAGCCACCAAAACCACTTCCATATCTTGAGAATTTAGAGAAATATGCACTTGTGACCAATGAGACAAGGCCTTGTCCAACCATGACAACTTCTTCAATCAACCCCTTGCACTTTTGAATCAATCTTGATAACTTGGAAATGTAGTGAACCAAAATAACCTTGCCATTCCATCCCTTCCAAAACAACTTCAATGGCGAGGTTTGAATTTCTCAAGCTTCATTGACTAGGTCATGGAAATAAACTCATGAACCCATGGATCAACTTGCTAAGCCTTATTGCCTTTACCTACATTGTTGACAAGTAAGACAAACCAACATTGCATTTTATTACTTAAAATTAAAATCAAAACAAAACATGGATGATTACACAAGAAAAACAAGTCAAGGTGCTTGGTGATTTCTCAAAGAGCAAAGCTAAAGATAGGGAGGAGAACCAAAAGTCCTAATGTGATCTTGTTGTGATTGAATCAAAATGTTATGATGAAGGGATCTTAGGGGAAAAATTGGGGTACAACAGTCTATTTTGTTTTACCACTGGTCGAGTATTTGGTACTTCCCATTTCCCCAGTAAGTTGTGCTTTACTCTTTCCTTGTAAGCCCTTGGTTATCTTTACTCGCGTTTGCCTCGCCTTATGAGTGAGACTAAGAGTTGGTGTATAACCTTTCCTATTTCTCAAGTATTTGAGTATCCATGCTTGGTGTGTGGTAATTCAGATAATGGTCACATTGAAGAGTTATACTCCGCTTCTAGCCTGAGGGATATTGTAGTTCTTGATTGGTGTTCTTTCCCCAGGAATCTACCTTCGATATAGTATTCCTTGATGAAGATTCCCATTCAGATGGTTTCTTTATCCTTTAAATCCACCTTCGACTGGTACCTTTTATTAAGAATCCCCTTCGGCTGGTCTCTTTTCATTATAAGTTTGCCTTTGATCAACATTCTTTCCCAAGGAATCTACCTTCGGCATAGTATTCCTTGATGAAGACTCCCCTTCGACTGGTTTCTTTATCTTGAAGTCCACCTTCGGCTGGAAACCTTTAAATCCACCTTCGACTAGTATCATTTGTTAGGAATCCCCTTCGGCTGGTCTCTTTTCTTTGTAAGTTCGCCTTCGACCGGTGTTCTATTCAGAGTCAATGTCTATTTGTATCCCTAGTAAGTTTGCCTTAAATTGGCATTCCTTCGTTAGAGCCTTCTACATTCGGTCTCTTTCTTTATATGTCTAACTCTAGCCTGACATATATCTCCATTATATTTTTTAAAAGTCTACCTTCGGTTAGTCTTTTTTTCATTGTGGAGTTCGCCTTTGATCGGCGTTAATTTCTTAGGAGTCTACCTTCGGCTTAGCCTCTTTGTTCATTCGCCTTTGTACATGCATCCTTCGTTAAGAGTCTACTTCGGCCTGTATCTTCTTTATATGTATCTAACTCTGAACAAACGCGTATATTTTATCCCCAGTTTGCCTTCAAACGGTGTTCTTTCTTCAGGAGTTTATTTGCGGTTATCATTCCTTATTGGAGCCTTCTTCGGTTGGTCTCTTCCTTGTTTTTGTATGTCTAATTTTACCTGGCATGTACCCAATATCTTCCTTATGTCTGATACCAACTCCGGGCATGTTTATTCCATATCTGACATATGTATCCTTTTCTCCTGACATATATCGTTGGTATCTTTGATAGGGCTTTCTTCGGTTAGTCTCCACCGTATGTTCACTACCAACTCCAAACATACAATTGTGGTATCCTTTGTAAAGAGTTCATTCCTCCGGTCTCTTTCTGGTTATATGTTTGCTACTAACTTCGAACATGTATTCGTGATGCTTTTGTTTTATGTTCGCTACCAACTCGGAATATATATTCGTGACATCTTTGTTAAGAGTCTACCTCCGGCAAGTCTCTTCCATATGCATGTCTTCTCGCGGCCTGACATACATTCAACTCTCGGGTTGTCAGATTTGACTCTTCTCTGATCCTGAATTGTGAGTTTGTTAATTTGTTTCCTCTCCTATTCCTAGATCGTTAGTCTACCAATTTGTTTCCTCTATGATCTCTAAATCGTAAGTTTTCCAGTTTGTTCTTCTTTGACTTCTGAGTCGCGAGTTTTCCAGTTTGTTATTCTCTGACTTCTGAGTCACGAGTTTTCCAGTTTGTTTCATCTCCGACTTCTGAGTCATGAGTGCGCCAGTTTGTTTCTTCTTCAACTTTTGAGTCGCGAGTTTGTTAGTTTATTTCTTCTCTGACTTCTGAGTTGCGAGTTTGTCGATGTATCTCTTCTCTGATCCTAAATCGTGAGCTTGTTAATTCGTTTCCTCTCTGATTCCTAAATCGTGAGTATGCCAATTTGATTCTTCTTCGACTTATGAGTCTCTATTTTGTCAGTTTATTTCTTCTCTAATCCCTGAATCGTAAGTTTTCCAGGTGTGTTTCTTCTCTGACTTCTGAGCCACAAGTTTTTCATTTTATTTCTTCACCGACTTCTGAGTCGTGAGTTTATATGTTTGTTTCTACTCCGACTTTTGAGCCGCGAGTTTGTCAGTTTGGTTTCTTCTCCGATCCCTGAATCGCGAGTTTCCAACCCCTGACTTGTCAATTTATTTCTTCTCCGACTACTGAGTCGCGAGTTTACAACCTCGAGTAGCAGATTATTATCACATATAATTCCTCAATAATTTTTTGTTCAACTTTTGTTCATCTTTTATGGTGTCTTCCATTCATGAAGCTTCACCTCTATTGTCCATATTTTGTGAGTACGCCTGGTTAACCATCGCTTCCACCTTTCGTTCTCCTTGGAAGATAGGAAACATAACTTCTTTTTCCTCTGAGGAAATCCTTCGGGAATATAAAATCATTACCCGACAAAGCTTGTTAGTGGAGGCATCTAAAAAATCATGAATATTTCTACCCATTCTTCGGAGTGCAAATTTTCAGGTTCTTTTAGTATTTAATATTCTTCTACCTTGAAAGTTAGATAGGCTAGCGTCAATCTCACCTTCATGTTAAATACGATTAAATAGGGGCAGTTGTTGTACCCCAAAATTTGCCCTCCTAATTGTACTTTTATCCCGCTCAGGCTTAATATCGCATTCACATCTTTTCATTAGGTCATTTACATAGCATATATTTGCATTCAATAAATACCCTGAGGTTTAAAAGTCCAGTGATCATGCAAGCTGGGTTTTCTTTTGGTGTGAGGCGCACATATCCAATAAAGCCGATTAGTCCCGATTCTTCTGATTTTTCAAGTATGTGAAGCATGGATTATACTTTTGGAAGTATGGTTATCAGGAACCTCTTCTTCGAAGGTTATTCTCCATAATAATCATCAAGATTAAAGGATTTAGGGTTTCTAATCCTTTGTGTTGGGGTCGTGGTTTATTTGTCTCAAGGATATACATTTTGATACAAGACTTTCTTTGTGGAGTGTGGATTAAATCATCTTCTGCTAGTTGGTTCATCATTTTTTTAGTCAAGATATGGTTTATCTAGTGATGTCTATGAGGGATCCATCTTTCATTAATTCAAGGTGCACTAGTTTCTTGAGTTACGAAGTATTAACTATGGCATTAATGAACTTGATTTATCTATTATGGTTTTAGTTCATGATCTCATATCCTTTCAATCTCTTTCATCAAGGAATTGCAGACATGGAGCTAAAGCATTATTTTTAAGGGTTTCACTATTCAAGTATGACATGTTAATGGTTCGGATTCAATTCGGGTTTTGATCTCAAGTTCTTATTCAAGCTTTGGACCAAATTTCGGCATTGTTAAAATTTAGATCAAGTGTCCATGGATTCATGAGATATGAAAACATTCACGCTGAATCCAAATTGATGACTTAAGATTCAAGTTCTATTGAATTCTTGGCCAAGTTGTGTTCATGTTTGGATCCATATTACACATACATATTGTCTAAAAAATTAATACAAACATCAAGTTCAACTTACAACACATATTACATTACATCAAGATTCAGCTACACCCATTTCAAAAATCCAACGTCAATTGTCATTGCTCATGAGGAAATCTATACAAGAATCCATTTCCAAGTCAAGATCCATTATACCATTAGAATTGCAAGGAAAATATGGTTTAGACTAAACTCATATAGACTCCTAAGACATGTTTCTCACATGAATCTCAAGTTCTTCATGTATTCCAGGTTGCCTTCCTATGCTCTAGTACATGTGCAACCTCAAGCTGCAAGCCATCTCCATTTCTCCATTCATCTTCCGCGGATCAGGTTTATTTCACAACTTCAAAGCATGTCAAACCATATGCACCCTTTGTTAAAAATCCTGTCCATAAATCTGTATAATCAGGAAAAAAACAAGTTATTGACCACAAGCAAAATAACACCTCAACACATCATAACAAAATTTCTGTGAATTGCTAACTAAACCAAGGCAGAATTATTCAGAGAAATAAAACAAAATTCCAGAAACCAGAAATATCAGATGAAAAGGGTGGAAACCATGGAAATGATAATAACAGAATTTTAAACAAATCCCAGGTCTCCAATTTTTGTAACTAACTTTTAGGATTAACAATTCAGATTCAATCTCACGTAATAAACTTTTCATACACTTAACAAAATATATAAACGGATTTACCTTCATCAATCTTCATTCTTCACAATCGTTGAAGAATCACCACCAAATCCTCTCAATTTTCTCTACTTCATCATCACCATTCTTCAATCATTTGGAAGAATCACACAAAATTCACCAGAAAATTCAGAAACACTCTGCACTCTTCTCGCCACACTTCACAAATCGTCATCAACAATTCTTCAACCTCTAGGAGAATCACCACAAAAATTATAAAAAAGCTTCCTCTACACTTTTCTTGAATTCTCTCTACAAGATCTAAAACTCGGATATTCATCTCTTTCTCTCTTTAACTGATTCACACATCTTCATTCCTCTGCAATTCTTCATCATATTCTCTTATTCATTCTCCTCTTCTCTGAACCTTGAACATCTTTAATCCTCATCATTCACGTTATGCAAGATTCATCAATGTCAACCTTTAATCTATAACAACCTTCTTCGCTTCTCCATCATCATCAACGCTTCAAATACTTTCTCTCTTATCTGCGATCTCTAAATCACATGCTGCAACTACAATCACACAAGAAAGTGCACAGAGGCATCAGAGGATCAAATCATGGAGACCGTGAAGAAAAGAAGTCAAAGAACCACACGAGAAAGAAGAAGAAGGGAGTAGAAAGATAAGAGCCTACCTGAGCTGCTTCTTGAAGGTCCTCGGGATTTCTATTTCCATTATCGGTAATTATGAAGCACCGTCAGAGTGTCTTCGATCGGTAAGATCCGAATCTCCACTTTTCTGCATCTTCTTCGTTGTTTCTTGATACAAGTGTGTAGAGTTTGTTGAGTATGATCTAAGCCCCTTATAATCGTGCTCAGAAGCTTCAACCATTGATATTTAATTTCACCTCCAAGACTTAGGGTTTAGAAATTTTGTTAGATGTAGAAAGTTTAAAGCGAAATTGTTGAGGACCTTTTGGACTCAGGATATGATCTCAGGGGGGTTGATGTTTAGAAGATCTTGATTAGATAAGGTTAGGCGGCGGTCTATCACGGCGGCACGTCCATTTGAGAACAAATACGAAACGATACGATAGAGAGGGAAGAGGATTTTCTTTCACAAAAGTTGACAAGTCACATTGTGACCCTAAATATACGCCATCGTTTTACTATTATGTCCAAATATTTTCTTTTAATTTTTTGTCATCTCAATAAACACAACAATAATAATGCTGCAAAATATATGGACTAGCTGCGGTGATATTGTTGGGCCAGTCTCGTGGGGCTTTAGGCCTGTAGCCATTTTTTCTTCAGCTTTAGTCTTGATAAAAAATAGATCTTGGACCTCTCTTGCTGGATCGAAAAGAGCTTTAAGCCCAATGCATATTTTTTGCATTTGAATGATGGTGTAGCAAAAACTGCTTCTGGACTCATAATGATGGGCCTCTATGTCAGGATTTTGCTTTGCATCACCCCTGTTTCAGGCTCACATCCCTTCGGATGCGCCTATGTTTTTTTTTAGATTTAGGATTTTCTTTTTATGATAAAAAATGATAAAATCAATAAAAAAAATTATATTTTTTATTTGATTTTAGGAATTAATTCATGATTATTCGATTATCCGAGACTTGTAATTCACTTTTGCTTGTCTAGATTGGAGTCTTATGCATGTTTATTGTGTAATATGCAATATGCTTGAGTTTCCGATTGTGATTTATTTTCACATCGATGATGCTTCGACGCTTATTCTGAGTATTTGATTTCTGACTCTTTTCTTTGTTGCTTGGTGAAGCTTGCTCGAAGTTTTTTGGGTTTCTCTGCTTTGCTCGCTTTGCTACGAACTCTTGTTCGTTTGGTATCATTTTGATTTTGGTTTATTTTTCTGCATTTTACTGCTTTTCTAGATATCATGAGAAGTACGAAATAAATAGTGTGCGCTCGAAGTTGTTATTTAAAGACCTGTAGTAGGCATTATGCACTTGTTTGCTAATTGTGCTTGTGTTTTCTTTCATATTTTGACGGTTGATGATGTCACTCAATTGGCATTGAGATAACGACTTCGGCCTTTGCATACTCCCCATAGGATTTCATGGCTTATTACTTTTGGCGATTGATGATGTCACTCAATTAGAATCGAGATAACGACTTCGAGTTTTGCATGTTCCCTTAGGACTTTATCATTTTCTTTTATTGATCGATGATGTCACTCAATTAGAATTGAGACAACGACTTTGATCTTTGCATGTTTCCTATAGGATAGTTATCTTCACTCTTAGGTTTTAGGTATGCTAACTTAGGTATTGATTTCCCTTGTGTGTGCTCTCATGAGCTTGTTGGTTACTTGCTTTCCATCCTTGTGTACATGTTTTCTTAGGTTGTAAACCTTTGGCATGTTCCCTTAGGAGCTCTCGATTCACCCTTTGGTGGTGATTCGAGATAGACATAGGTTTAGGTTGTAAACCTTTGCTATGTTCCTTTAGGAGTTCTTGATTTACCCTTTGGTGGTGATTTGATATAGACACTAGGATTGTAATCCATGTATGCTAGCGTAGGATAGAGATTTCCCTTTCAAAACTCAATCTTAGGACCATCATTGTATGATAATATTAGGGATTAGATTCTAGCTAGTTTCCCTTGGATGTTTTTTTCTTTCTTTTGCATCCTTGCATTAAGACTAAAACTCTTTTCTTGGCAAATGCATAAAACATCTAACAACTTTCAAATCCTTTTTTAAGGTAAAAAACACCAACCAATGCAAACTCTTTTCTCCTTCGGGCCCTTTTCTTTCAAACTTTTTCAAAAGAACATGTTAATTCACTTTTGTGCCGACGCATGAGTCTCCAAAGGTAGAGCTACGGTAAAAGGAGAAATTAATATTGTTCATTAAAAAATACAAAACAAATTGAAACATGTGAGCCGAACTACGATGCTTTGATTCCTTAAAAGAGATACGTAGGCATCTGGTCACGGGGCTCAGCCGAGTGAAACTTTGTAAACATTTCCTTATTTTCCCCGTATTTGTTTTCTTTTACATGCATTCCCTCTTTGCATTTTTCTTTTAGCTCTTAGCTTATACTTGAACACACCCTTTGATTAGAACAACAAGAGTGGATATTGTAGAGTACAACGGGCGTGTGCGGTGCTAATACCTTCCCTTTGCGTAACAGATTCCCTTACTCGATCTCGCGGTCATTCGATCGTGATTTCACTCTTCTCAGGTTTACTCGATGTTTACCTTTCTCTTTTTATGGGATAAAAAGTGTTCGATGGCAACTTCATTAACTTCATCTGGATGATTTCTTCAGCTGGTTGTCTCAATGGGAAATCTTGCTATTATTGGCTTCTTTGTCTAATCACTTCAAAAATAGGTAACAACTTGTTAATGTTAAGAGATCTTTTAACAAATGGAACTCTGGATAAATGTGGTTGAAAATAGTAGGATATACATATTCACTAGATTAGTCACTTTAGATATAAAGGACTACAACCATAAGAAAAATTAGAAGTTATACAAGACGTGCTTCATTGATATTGCAAGACTTAGAGATTTGTTCCCCCTAACTTAACTCATAAGCTTTTATGTTATAGACATACATCACTAGATCACTTTCGGCCTCATCTCTCACGACATATCTCATAATTAACATACAAATAATGGAACTTATTAAATGGATCATCTACCAACATGTCTCTCACTATTAATTTAACTTCTTTCCTATTATTCATCACTGCTCAACCTGAATTTGTGAGAACTAATCATTTTTATACCTTTTTCTCATGACTATTCACAAAATTTTACATAATCTATGTGGGATCTATACTCTTGCTTTTACATCACTTATTACTATAGAACTGTGTATACTTGCACATATAAATAAAACAACACATTTCTACGACAAAAATAAATGAAAATGAAAACCTAAAAGATTACTACAATCATGAGCAATCTTTCAAATGTAGGTGACCTTTGTTTTATTATCTTCCAACTTTAGCTTCGTAGCACCAATGGAAGTGGCGTAAGGTGTGTAACATGGCCCAACCAAATCTCCAATTTTTTTGTCTCTTGGAAATAAGTTTTTTTTTCCTTTCATAGCAGTTCCATTGATAATTAGGCAAACATTTAAAGTAAAGCACAAAGAATGAAGCATATTTCTATGCGAATACTAAAATAGTGCAACTATATACATGGTGTGACAATTTGTTTTCCATTTTAGAGAAACTTTCATCTTTATCCATGTCTGGGAACTCATCAACAAAATCATTCATTTGAAAAATTCTTATGTCTTAGCTATTAAACTATAAAAATTAATCTCTCATGCGAAGTATTTTTGTGATGTGATTATCACGTAGTAAAAAGTTGTCTGTTGCGATATGATAATCACGTCATTATATTTTTTAATGTTAAATATAATAGCTGTTAACTTATGACGTGGAGATTTATTTATTAATTTATTAAAAATTAGTTGCGGCGTGTTTATCACATTGCAAGTTTTAAATTTAAAAAAATAAATAAAAAAGTACTGGCGCTCAGAAGGAGGGAAGTTTGAAAATTTTATACAATTGGTTGCGACGCGGAAATCACGTCGCAAATATTTAATTGAAACAGTATCTGAATTTGAACAAATGGGGCGCATGTTGTGTAATAATTATTTCTGACTGTTAGGTGTTGTGACGTGATTATCACGTGGCAAAGTTGCGATGTGATAATCACGTCACTGATTGGCTCGTTATTTAATAGACCGTTGAGGGTTGCAACGTGAATATGATGTGGCAAAGATGCGACGTGATATTCACGTTACTGATGTCTATATATACTTACCCATAATTCACTCTTCATAGAAACACTATTTCATATTTGTTTTGATTCTGCAATTTTTTCTCTCTTCCCTTGCCAAGCCATTCTTCCTTCATCTCCCACTCCCCATTAATCTTCCAACTCTAAATTTTTGTATCAGGTATAATTTTTTATTCTTTCATATTGTTCAATTTAACTTAATAATTATATTTAATCTTTATAATTATTCTGATTTAGTTAAAATTTTGTGTTTTGGTCAAAGATTAAGCAATAT